CCTTTTCTGAGCTCTCAGAGCTACTCTTGTTTTCCGGTATCTGGACACTCAGTCTCGAAGAGCATTATGAGCTGTGGATTTCGTAAGGTAAAACTGTTCAAAATTTCACAGAGGAAATAAATGGACGTGTGTTGAGGAAATTCTCATTGCACAATTTCATTGGAAAAACGAATAAAAACTTTCACATGGGACTAATGAAAGATGGATCGAAATAATCAGCTGTTTGAGAACAACTGCAACTGTTCTGCAGGACAGAACCTTAAAATAGACCAAATCCGAGTGACTTGGACATGTGCTCCACCATATGTCCAACGCAAAATACTTACCTTCAATCAGATTGGAAACGTACCTTTGCATTGCTATTAACGCATTGCGACTCGTAAACGGGTTTCCAGTACGATTGCAGTTCCAGTAATCGGTCACTTATTCGTTGTGACTACAAAAAACAAAGGATAATGCAAGAAATACCAGCTATCTAAACCATCTTTGAGCTACACAATTACAGGCAATGTATACTCAAAGAAGCACATTACCCGGCCATCTTCCGGCAATGGCCACTCCAGGGCAGCCGCGGTATGGGTAGTCCTTTTGAGAGATGCTGAACGGTACGCAACTGTTGCTCGACGACCCAGCCGCCGCCAAATCATCCTAAACGATGACTTTTATTCAACTGTTCCATTATAAAAGACTGCAGACCGAATCTTGCGAATGCATGAATCCGTCCATCACGGCAACATAAAATACATAAAATACCCTCTGTAACTATTTCCATCATGGTCTTGCCCAGCCGTGGGACTTACTTATCTATAACATGATAGAATCGTTTGTAATCTATGCACGTACAGGAGGGACGAGAGGGATCAAAGGCTCACTTTCCCATAAACTGCACCACTCAGCACTGCTGAGTCAGCGGTGCTTACGTCGTCAGATATGAAACAATCCTCAGAGCCTGGGTAAGTCAGAGTGGAAGAAAATGGAAAAACCTCGGTAGAAGCCCGAAACTTTTTGGGGAAAGTCAAGTGTAGTTTTCGGTAGGATGAAAGAGGAGGCAGGACTGCGAAAAAGGAGTGAGATGGGACCCAAGCTGGGGAGGCGTCAGCCTTTCAGCGGGGACCGAGGGTTGAAGACGAAACGTTTAGTACGCTTTCCACAAAAGGGCTCGCCCACTGCTTCAAACACCCATTTCAAACACTGATTCATGGGAATTCACCACCCCCAGGCGGAACCCAGTGTGTTTGGCGATCACTTTGACTAGTAAGGGTAGGGGCCGTTCCCATCTTCCCCCAGGTTAGAGGAGCAAACAATCTCTTTTAATTTATCTGTTTTCAACGAATCAATTTCCCGTAATCGCCACTTCTATTCTTATGCCTTTTTCTGCCAGTTACAAATAGACTATTATTAGCGGAATTCTGATGAAACGACCATAAATTTTATCCGAGGTTCTTCAGTTCCCGTAGCCGTTGGGGAGAAGGGACTACGGTTCCTCTGGTGAGAGAGAATCGCGAACCAACATGACGTATCCAAACTGCTTGCCAGCACAAAGTCTCCAGTTCAAAGACAGTTGTCTGCGTGTTACCAAATGTAAAGTTTTACCTATATTTTACAGTTAATGTCTTTACCTTACCATCTATATTTTATCGATTTAATCACTGCGACACTACAATGGGTTCAGCAGCTGCGGCATGGTCTCTTTGCTTCACTGAGGCGAAACAAAGTGGCCAGATTACCACCATTGACCCCATTGACTGCAGTTCAGGGTTTGGCTATACGTGGGTGACTCTCCTACACGTCTTACGCTTATCCTCTTGTTCAAGCTTTTCTTTTTAAAGGAGGAATTCACGATAAGAACGAAGGTCAAAGAAGGGGAAAATTGCATAGTTGGGAGACAGGCGGACCTCCTGAGGGTGCTGACCGACGCGCAATTGGCAGCGAAAGATTGACCTCGGCGATCTAGCATGGCTCACTCTTGGCGCGGTTGGCGGGGTACGCCCACCGACTATCTAATCACTCGCCGCAGGTCTATACGTGGCGAGTGATTAGATAGCAGAGAGAGCGTAGTGTTGAAGAGGGCACAGCGATGAGAGTCGCATCAATGCGCAAATCAACGGGCAAGGAAGGGGTCCATTTCTCGGGTTTCGGGCCGTTTCAAATGGTTTCTTCTTCATCCCTGCTCCACTGACCACCTCTACCCTTATTTCCAATGAGCTAACTTTTCATCGTAAATTCTGCCTTAAGTGGAAGGTGAATAGGTGTACATAAAGCGGTATTATGATGGAGTCACTTCGAGACAATCACATCAACACGAACGTTTACAAATCTGATAGAATTTATTATGGTGGTTTATTTACATTTACAAAGCAATACATCATGCTAGCACTGCTGTAAAAATCTGCATTGATAAGCTCACACGAAAGGATAACACGAGAACACCGACAGGGTCAACGTCTGAGAATCAAAACCGCTATATAAGTCATAGGAATTGTTGTTAGTGAAAGAAATTCAAATAACAATAAGAGGACAAAGCCAAAGTACAGAATGCAACGCCGTCCTTGTGTCTTCAACAGGTGATTGATCAGCTTATCCACATGTGCGAAACCCATATAAACCAGAAATAAACACTCCCATAGCGTAACGCGTTAATTTACGCAACGCTTAACGAAATTGTACTCTGCAGAAAATGCAAACAATTCTAACCCTAACTAAAACAGATAAGACTTTCCTGCGTGGTAAATTAATGAAACAAACAACTGTACACTAAAAGTTAGAGCAAAGAGCTTTTCAATAAAAGATTCATCAGAGAGTGGTGCATACTGAATGAGTAAACAAAAGGAAAAGAAAGCTGTAGCAACTGGTTTTTCAAATAAAATGAGTAGAACGAAGCCAGATATCGACTTTCTCCCGGCGCGGTTGGTCATAGAGAAGCATCGGATGAAGAGATGACAACGAAGTGAGCTCACAACTCTGAATCAACATTTACTAGAGATGAAAACAGTTCAGCTTCATTAAGATTTTGGATCCAAACGAAAAACATCCCCACCTCAGGCTTACTCTCCTTCTTTGGATTTTTGAAGACTTTCTCACTAGAACATCCCGAATCACTATTTCGTTCCAAAATGTCGCTAACAGATGAAAGCACCGATTCTGCTGGAATGTCGAACACTGAATCACCCAAACTCTCGCTGTCGCAGCAGTGTGCCTTAAAAAAATCAGTTTGAGAAAAAAACAATGAAAATAACAATATTCCTTCAGTGTATGACAATCTAACCAGCTGCATGCCATCATCCGACCGGGTTCGCTTCAGACTGTGGATCCAACAATCTACACCATTTCGATTTTCTCCAGGGGAAATGTTGGCAACATCTCTGGGTGGTGTACCAAAGCATGAAATTTCCTGAACGTAATCCTTTGTGTACACCGAAGCCCAGTCTTTTGCTATCCTTTCAGCGGTATGCGACCTGGAAAAGAATTTCTGTGCAAGAGCAGCCCTTTCTTTCAATAAAAACTAACCTATGAAGAAGTTTGGCGCGTAGACATTCCCCTCGATTGCTATCAAGGTGGGTCATCTCTGGTATTGGACACAGATGTTGCTGCCCGGTGGAAGAACATCCTTCCGTTGCTCCTCCAGACCTTAACATCTAGAAGGATTCGAAAATTCGTGGCGTGTTCACAAAACAAAGCGAACATGCATAAACGAAACTGCCTTCGTCACACTTGAGGATCAAAACGCCTAAGAAGAGATGGAACACTTGATGAAGGCAAAATACGGCGGCTCAATGAGGGGTATCATGACGATTGCCAACTGAGTCTATAGTAGTATGATCCGACTTAGTCAGCATACGAAAGTATTTGCCTTTTAATCAAGGTATCCGATGGTAACTTCACTGTTTTAGGCGGATGAAAAATACCTTCCCTCAAGTCCTCCACGGCTCGTTAACAAAATCTCTTTCCCACTAGCAGGTGAAGATGAGAAGAACTGGGGGCTCTCGCGGGATATAGCGAGGCATCGTACAAACAAGTGTGTGCGATGTTTTTCCTGGAGGACGTCAGTCGAATTCTCAGTCCGGTGGAGCCGTACGCGCAATCAACTCACAGACTGATTCTCACACCTTATGCCAGCCACGCACCACTTCCGGAGGTGGGCGGTCCTGGATTGACCAGGCGGCCCTGGATTGAAACCGAACGCCCCGGGGCCTTAACGGGGTTTTTCAAGGTGGGAAGTTGCTGCATGTGTGCAGCTACCCACATACAACCTCCAGGCACGGGAATTACTTCTCTAGCGTGCCTGAGCCCGACCTTTGCCTTTAGAAAGACCATATCAATAGAATGTAAGTTTCAATGACTTGATGATCGCAAAGACAAACGTTATGCGCAGCTGGGACGGGTAGTGAGCAACTTAGAGCACACGTAGTTTGCACTATTTAGCCCATATCGTGAGGTTGTATGGCGCACTGCGAGGTGGTCTGAAGCAAAAAACGAAGCATTGGATAAGCCTGAGCTGAAGGGCTACGTCCCACGATGAGAGGATTTCTGTAGTGCGGGATAGCTGCTGGTAGGGACCCGAAAATGAAGAATTATGAAACTGTGATCAATGCTCTGTCCACCTCGGGAGACATGTCCTAACCACTCGACGCCACTCTCCCTTAGCCGAGAGAGGGTACAGGTTTTCGCAACGGGACCTTCCAAAGGTAGGATAGCATACGACCCCTCGAACCCCTCGAAAAGGCCTCTTTTTGTGATATACTTGGCCTTTGTAAAAGATTCAGAGCACTGCACGAGTCTCGAAGAACGAGCGATGCGGATGATGGGTGGGAAAAAGGACAGGAAAGGGTCTGAAATGGGCTAGATATCGCAAGGGTCAAAACTGAAGACGCCTTTGGCTTATAAGGTTCCCAACCCAAACATCACACCCATGATCTTGTCGCAATTACAAGGCATATCGTTTCCGGACCACCTTCCACACTGCACTGTGGGCTGCGACTTTAAGTCCACCATCACACTCGGTCACATTCTTGCATTACACGAGTCGTATAGATCACATCACTAGTGAACCACTCCCAAAAGGTATAGCAGGCATTACTATATTTTTCACTGTTTTTTTTTTCACTGCTGTTCCCCAAACAATGTTTTTTGTTTTGCAAATGCAACGCGACAATTTTTGAGCTATTCTAATACCGAATCGCAACGAAAAACAGTAATTATAAGGCAAGCACTCCAATTATGATTCTTCGCAATAGCTGACTAATCGATTGACACGGGGAAAATGTGAGAAAGAATCAAAACAAAGGTTAATTTAGCCCCTCCGGCTAACACTTACCTCCGTTCCCGGGTTGAGTCTCCGGTTGCATTTGTGTCTGAACCGCTACATGCCAAATAAGGCTTCCCTGCTTCGCCACTTCCTCCGGGACCTCCAGCTACACCTCCTAGAAAAGCTGTTTTTTGCAGCGGAAAACTAACGACCCAATATCGAAAATTTCAGCCAGAATAGCTAAAACATAAAACACACTAATTAAAGAAATGGAATTGAAGAAGCATAAACTGAACAAAAGCGGAGTGCGCTATTCAGGAAACATATCAGAATGATCGGAAAGTTTGGCTACAAGAATCTTGCCATCCACAACCTGAACCCTACTGCCAGAGTTATGTGACATCCAGTCCACCACTTGGCGCCGACGCTAAGAAGAAATATTCAGGTAATGTCGATCCCCTCTACGCGGAAGAACAGGGTGGGACTTGAAGTTGTTGAACGCCTACCTTACCTTATTCTCGGTTTCGAGCAATTTTACGTCCAGAGCACGCTGGCGAATTTGGAAGGCAATAATCGGAAGGCGCGCCACAAGTGAGGGGGGAGGGTCAGCCGGCCACATTTCTCCAG